TGTTGTGTGTGTGTGTTGTTTGTGTGTGTGTGTGTGTGTGTGTGTGTATGTGTGTATGAGTATACGCGCGCGCCCTTGTGTCTGTACTTGCGTGTAAAGTTCCTAGCCGCCTTCATGACCGTTCATAGGTAACACCATACCTCAACCGCAAGCGATGATGTGCTCGCTTCATCCCGTTTTGCTTTTGTGAATGATGAAACTGATGATAAACCTACAAAGTCATCGCTTTCACATCCCAATAACTGTGTGCGTCGCTTGTTAGCGATCTCTTCACTTCTACTGATTGGTCTGTCCTTGTGTACACTGATTGACAGCCCTTTCTTTCGGGCCACAACTGGACTTGCCATAGCGTGGCTGTACGCTTCGCACGGCCTATCAAGCTTGATGTTTTGTTAGTTGCAAGGTGAACACTGCGTTCGCTTACGATACGTCGACGTGAATTGTGATAGGATTTATATATTAGAAGGTACACGACTACTAATAGTGGTATTGGCAGAGGTAAAGACACTTTTACAGCACATTCTCATTGAATTCGAGTACACACTATACTTCAGTGGTCAATGCAATTGGTCATGAATCGATCACACATTAATTGACTCACAACAGTGGTTCAACACTACTACTGGGAAAAGATGAGCCCGAATGCAGAGCTATCCCCAATTCCTCTGTTCGTTTCGCGTTAAACCGTTTTCAAATCAATCGTTATTGCGTTAAAAAGATAAACGTGTATGCTACAGTATATTACCAACGGGATTTTATTTAACGGGGAGTAATTCTTGAGTGAGCAATTTCATTTCAATGTTAAAACGTATTGGTCGTAAAACTACGTATATACGAACGTCCTATGCCTTCGTCTCAACTCTCACCGATGCTTTATTGTAGATCTTGTCGATAAGTGTCTATCGTCCAATCAAACCACGGTCCGGATAAAACTGAATACATAGCGAACAAGAGTCAAGAGGTAAAAAAATAAAATACAAATATCATCTACGTATTTATATGCTTGTTGTACATATTTTCTACTTTTTTATATAAATATTTAAAAAAAGTAATGTGGTGCATTCCAGTCTCCAGACACATTTTCTCTTAAAAGTATTCGGGGCATTCGGGAGGAGACTAGTAAAGTATGTATACAGAATATTTAGAAATTTTTAGAATAGACAGTCTTGTTTTTGAACAAATGGAACACAATGTCTACCTTGGCAAACATGCGCAGATGTCTTCACGACTATTTATACGAAATGAAAGTACTATCCTGCGTGGACAGTCAGATACATGGTTCTGCGGCCCTGCTGCACTAGTAAAGGCTACTGGTAATTATGAGTACTCCGTCTACAATCCACTCCAACATGCACCACGTATATGCCATGCTGGCGTTAGTCCTTGTCATACTTTCGCCTAGAGTGGTCAAGGCGTCGAACAGATTGTCACTCACCACAAAACAGCCTCGATAGCTTAGCACCGACTCACATCAGTAAGCGGTAGAATGGTTCGGATATTTATTTACTGCATGTCGTTGGTAAATGGCATAGGCAATGTCAGGAGGGTCGATAGTCCGATTTTATCCAAGCACTTTATTGATAAATGTCTTCTCGTAATGTCAAGGTGGCCGATAGTCTGGCTCGATTTAAATGAGTATACAATACTGCGGTATAAATAAAATCCCCCCTTTTTTTTAACGAGTGAACGTATTAGTCTAAGAAGTGGTGTGCAGCATAGACCCCATCTGTTGCAGAGCTAGCGTTTCGGTGGTGAAGTACTGAACGTATTCGTATGCCCGAGCAGACCCCTCTGGGGTGGAGCATGCCTGTACAGATTATAAAAAGAATGAATTTCATTCGTCAATACACAGCTAAAAACAGATTACGCACAGATAAAAGTCAAATACAATGTGTCGTCGTATATCCCACATCTCTCATGAACGCTATCCAGGACCATTATGAGTTGGCCCAAGGCGACTCATACCGTTTGATACCCTGGGCCAAATTGTACTATGCTTAATGTGCTGTGTGTATAGAGTATGATATATGAAGCCAATGACGCCTCATACTTCCTAGTCTCTCATGAACGCTATCCAGGACCATTATAAGTTGGCCCAAGGCCACTCATACAGTTTGATACCCTGGGCCAAAATGCACTATGTTTGATGTGCTATGTGTATAGAGTATGATATATGAAGTCAATGACGCCTCATACTTCCCAGTGTCAAACTAACCGCGATAGCTGTCTGTCTCAGTAGTGGGGCTGTACAGGGACACATTTTCAACCCATTGAAATACCTTTACAGTCAATAAGAACACACTGGAGATGATGAATAACCATGCCGTACATTCCGTACAATAATTTCACTGAATACACAAACACACGTCCATATAATATTACGCCAACACACGTCATTATAATATTGGCCCTGACTGTAGACAAACGTTCGCACATACTACTCATATAACCACACGTTCATATGATATTGCACCAACACACGTCCATATAATATTGGTCATGATTGTAGACCTACTTATGCACATACTACTCATATAACCACACGTCCATATAATATTGGCCATGATTGTAGACAAACTTTCGTACATACTACTCATATAACCACACGTCCATATAATATTGACCATGATTGCAGACAAACTTTCGCACATACTACTCATATAACCACACGTCCATCCACACGTCCATATAATATTGGTCATGATTGTAGACCTACTTATGCACACACTACTCATATAACCACTGTATACAAATAACAGGCATAAACACACAATACGGGATTTTAGGCTTTAGGGTTTTAGGGAATCATAACTCGTAAACAACCCAACAACCGAACATTCGGATTGACAGAGAGTCTGTGGTGAATACAAGATCCAAAACTGGCAGGCGAGTACAAATTCAACAAAATGCGAACAATATTAATCAAAATTTGGCCCCGTTTTCTCTAGCTCCCTGATATTGAGATATGGATGGACTTGCTGCAGCAGTCAGACCGAAAAATATGCAAGAATAAATACAACTCACATAGTCGTTGCAATATAATTGTACGGAACAATGTAAGTTTACCTGCCCGAAGTACGTTTGGTATCCGCTGGCCATTGCAGTGATGGGGATCGGATTGGGCCTGGTGTATAGCGA